ATTTTTTTTTTGTTTTTTGAGAATCTTAAAATTTCTAAATTAAAATTTTTCAAATTTTTGAGCCATACAGTTTTGTGTATTAAAGATAATATGTGTWTGGTAATGCGTTGAATATTTATGACTTATGAAGCTTAGATGATTTGAACATGTAGTGTTTATTACTATTGACCTGTCAATATAAATAATTTGTAAAAACAATTCTAGTACCTATTATAAATACTACATTTGATATTAAATATAGTTTATTTTTTTCTAATTTCTAAGGATTATTAAACTTTGGATAAACATTGTAATAACCCTAGAACTACTTATTAGGATTTTTWTGTAGATATATCAACATTTTCAAGACAATCATCCGCTAAATAATTTCCAGTAAAATTGGGTTATCATTTGAAARATAGAAGTTTGTATCGCCCCAAGGCATTCCTTAAGCAGAACAAAAMATATTGTATTAAGATAAACTTAAGAATTCTTTAAATCAGAACTTAAATAAATGTGTTATTGAAGTGAAAAATKGGAGTGMGCATGCTTAAAAAAGTCACACTATTTATTTTATGATTATTCGTATTAGTATTATCACATATTAAGTTATTGATTTTAATATTATAATATATTATTATAAATTATAATAGATATAGTAAATGTTTGGCATTGAAAAGTTTAATCAATAGTTTTCATATGGACTTGATGCGATTTAATTTTGGCAACGCTCCCGTATTATGTTCGTTAATTTTTATGGCGTTACAACTTAATTTCAAATTAATTATGATTACGATTTTTACTACTTTTAACTCAACGTCTTGTAATATATATTATGAGAAATAATTTATTAAATAACTKAATAAATATTTACGTCCATAAAATACTAATTGATTAGCATTTTTTTGATTAGGTTGTACCTATCAATGATACTGTATCATACTATATAAATTASCCAAATGGATATTTTTATTTTTTAAATAATATTTAAAAATATTATTTTAATAATTAATTACCTAGATATTTGGGAATTGCAAGCACAATTGCATWGGTATCTACTAATATAATAGCATATAYAAATAACCCATCCAGCACTTAATGAATACAATTTGTTTGAAATAAGTATTAACGAGGAAAAATAGTGATTTCAAGTAAAAAATGTATATGCATAAACAAAACATAATGAACTAACGATACTCTAGTATCATTATGTAAATATAATTAAA